GTTAATGTCTGTACCTCATTAAACCTCCGTGGGCAGCGTGGGGCTCGCCCAGAAACCCCGCGGAACCTTATCCTGTATATTCCTGTTCTGGTCAGCATGAAGATCATTGACCCAGAAGTTTCAAAGGCTTATAGTCAGCTGTTAGCTCGGCGAAGTAATAAATTTCCTGGTCCCAGTCGAAGGGGAGCGTTCGATAGGAGCAACACCGAATGAGCAAGTTACTATTAATCGCATAGTCCTTGTTCTTGTGTAGTTAAGCAGATAGGAGTTTGAATCCAGCGGCACGACGTAATCAATACCAGCAATGGCAAGGTGATGGTGTGCAAGTGATTTAGGTTCGCAGAAAAAGCCAGCCGCTGTCTGCTTGCCAGGTTGCCAGGTACCTCCATCCCTGTCGATCCGATCCACCCACTACATTTTCGAGAACCGTTGTTGGGCAGAGCGATCAGCATAACGATAAGGCGCAGATTCCAACCGCAATCGGCTTGCTAACCACCCATACGCTAACCGAGTATAGCATCCCCACTAAATATCATTTTTGAGACTGCCCAAACCATACATCATTCGTGTTCGTGGTAGCTCAATGACCCCGTCATCGGCCGAGATTCAGACGAAAGTATCCATCGACAAGCACCTCCGGTACCTGACCACGGTCGGAAGGGCCCTTCATCCATTACCGAACAAAGTTTTTCCAGTAGTAATCGTATGTCCTGGTGGATGAAGTACTCCATTAGTGGTGTTAGATAGTTACTAGTCAGGTACAGGACGTCTTGGCTTTGAGGTGCACGATGGGTGACGTCAGAGTCTAGGAGATCTCGGATGACGAAGTCCACATCACTGTCTTTTTCCCTCTGCGATGTGCTGATATGGGAGGAGTATGTGCGTAGCGGTAAGGTTAAGTAACAGTAGACTGAGCCAAGTGAGGCGTTGGTGTGGAAGGATCAACAGGAAATCTGAACTCAGAAGGGTCAGCGGGAACTGCAGCCTTTGCAATTAAACGAGCAAACAGTATGTCTGTAGTTCGTCGTCCATGATTTTGCGCAGCTCTACTTAATAGCTGCTGTATTCGTATTTCAAAATCACTCATTTCAATGCTGCATGATTGTCTAGACTTTTCACCTGTTAGTACTATCCTGGCGAAATGTCGAAGACATATGTGGTCCACTATATATATATGTATGGCGACACGACTAGCTTCAGACAGGTGAAGTAGATCCTGGTCACTATTGCAGCAATGAACACAGCAGGAATGACAGAGAAAAGTTTAAGTGAAGGCTGGCTGAAGAAACAATCCGGCCTGTGAGACCTTCATACTGATGAGGGGACCAAGTTGATGCGACAACCATCCTGATACCAACAACAATGGCCGCAAAACAAACAAAGGTCACGGGGCTGTCACATGGTTAGGGGTGCAAATGTTTGTGGCTGGAGAGGATGAGTGTGGCGGACCGTTTGTTTGATCGGTTTGCCTGTGGGGAGGCAGCAGAAGCTGACTAAGATGACAGTCCCGTGACGGCCAGGGACATCACCCGGAGCTACGGCAGCCTGAGGCATCAGACGTTGTCCTGTCAACGGCGGCCGCTAAGCCAGATCAGGGGAATTACAACATAACAGCAGCCACTGAGCGTGCATCGCAGTTGCCCCCCAAAGCAGACTCATCGGCCTCGAGCCTATCTTCTTCTCGTGCGGCCAACTTTTCCCTCACTTCCTCTCCTCTCTTCCCCTCACGCTCCGCACTGCCGGTCTCCAGCCTCTACCGCTCCCTGTCCGGGCTCGTGTATATCTTCCTCCTCATCCCCTGGACTTCCTCGTGCTATCCTTACCCTATCGGCACCCGTGTCTTATTTGCATCACCTTTTGTTTAGGAGCGCCAACAGATCAGATCATGAGCCTTTAGTTCAGAACTGTTATTTTGTTTACTTTTCTATCAATCGACAAAGCTCTTCGACGCCTTTCAATTGCAGCATTGCATCTCTTGACAGGTTCATCTTGTCAAGCATTTCCTTCCCTCATTCCTCGGTCTACACGTTGCCCCCATTAGCGACTATTGTTTTGATTGTCGCATCGCCGAAGTCAAGATGGCTACCAACAGTGGTTATGGACAAGTGATTGAATATATTCAAGGTTCGTTAGCTTCCTGCCATCGACGTTGAGCATGTTGGATTAGCAACAGCTGGAAATTACATCGCCAGTGGAAGTGTTTTATGTGCAGCTTGCTAAACGTTCGGGCAAAACAGATCGTCTCTACCTCGCCTCCTACGACAACCCTCCCGATGCACGAACCCCATTTCCTTATCCCCTAGAGCAGCCGAGATCACCGTCCAAGCGCTCTGCGAGGGCTCAGCCTAGCACTCCTAGCAAGAAGCGCAGTCCCGTCTATTTCACAGTAGATGATGTCTTGCTGTACAACTCATTCCATGCCGATTTCGGCCCTCTACACATCGGTCACTTGTATCGGTTCGCGGTCCAGTTCCACGAGATTCTTGGGGAGCCTGAAAACCGTGATCGTGCAGTGGTGTTCTACTCTAAGACGGATGCACGAAGCCGTGCTAATGCTGCTTGCCTGGTTGCCTGCTACATGGTCCTGATCCAGGCCTGGCCCCCGCACCTCGCTCTGGCGCCCATTGCGCAAGCCGACCCCCCATACATGCCATTCCGTGACGCAGGCTATAGTCAGGCGGATTTCATCCTAAACATCCAGGATGTCGTCTATGGTGTGTGGAAAGCTAAGGAGCAGTCGCTCTGTAGCCTCAGGGACTTTAGTCTTGAAGAGTATGTATAATAGCAATTGGCTCTTATTGACTCCACTGACATCTTTGTTAGATACGAAAAGTTTGAGCGTGTTGACATGGGTGATTTCAACTGGATCACCCCGCAGTTCCTCGCTTTCGCCTCGCCGCAACACCAACCGATTGCGCCTATCCCTCAAAACACGCCCGAGTTCGCAGCGCTTCCATCCACTGTCTCTGAAGTCCTTTCTTCAAAGCTACCTCTTCCTTTCAAAAACGTTCTGGCGCACTTTTCATCCCGCAACATCGGCCTTGTTGTGAGACTGAACTCCGAGCTGTACTCCCCCTCCTACTTTACGGCTCTGGGCATCACCCATGTGGATATGATCTTTGAAGACGGAACCTGCCCTCCCCTGCCACTTGTCCGTCGCTTTATCAAAATGGCACACGAGATGATCTCTAAGAAGAAGGGCATTGCTGTTCACTGCAAGGCCGGCCTGGGAAGGACTGGATGCTTGATCGGCGCGTACCTCATCTACAGATACGGATTTACTGCCAACGAGATCATTGCGTTCATGAGATTCATGCGACCAGGAATGGTGGTCGGTCCTCAACAGCACTGGCTACACCTCAACCAGGGCTCTTTCCGCGAGTGGTTCTACGAGGACTCGATGAAGGAGAAGCTGGCTCAGATGCAGGCTGCTCCCATTACCCCTGGACGGCCATCTACCAGACAGCGGGCCAACGGACCTGTCGCCACGCCGCCGAACAATGGCCATTCTAAGCGTGCTGCTCTTGGCGAGATCGATCACAACGAAGGAGCTGGGGCCCCGGCGGAAGAGTACCTCCCCGCACCCACTCCTGGACAGCCTCGCAAATCACACAGAAAAGACTCTCGCCATCACCCATATGCCCGTACCACATCTGGAAGCTTGGTTGTCGACAAGGATGGCAATAAGACTTCCGAACAGACCAGCCACAGACACCACCGTCTCAGCAACGACAGCAGCGAGAGTGAAGAGGAGATCCAGTTGCGTATGTTGGCGAAGCGTTCCTCCAGATCCCCTGTCGCATCTCCCAGTCAGCGGTCTGTTAGTTACTCTGCTACGGTAACTGCTAGCTATACCCTGAATGACGATGATCGAGAGAACTGGGGCGATGCTGCCACGTATGCAGCACCGAAGACTCCTGTCAGCACCAAGAGTGGCAGTGGAGCGATTGCAGTAACAAAGGTTCGGACGAGCCCCAGGCGTGCGACAGACACCAGGAGTGAGACGAAGGTCCGGAAGGCTAGCGGCCGCGTTGGCAGTGCTGGAAGTCCCACGCGGGTGAAATAAACGCCTCACCGGCGCAGGTATCTTCGTTTCTTCTCCGCGCTCTTGAGCCTTTTCAGATATCCTTTTCTTCTCATTTCTACTTTCTGCCTATTGTTGCTGCCGGGGTATAATATGTGCATAGTCCCGCGTATTTTCTCTTCTTTGCTACCTGCGCTTTGACTTTAAACTTTCTTTTTGGCAATTCTCCGGTGCGGTTGTGGGTGTTGGGTTCTGGTGCAAAATCCATGGGTCTGGGTGTGCGTGTTTATGGCGTCTGGTTACACTGTCGATGGTCAAATGATATCTAGAAGTTTGTCTGGAATACACCAAGTCTTTGACTGGCACATGATGTTTATAGTGTGTCGAGTGGCTGTTACAATCAAACGCGTTTCCCTGTACGTATATGATCTACGTCGATATGACCGATTCGTTATATCCTGTCTTTGTGAAAATGGGTGCCCCGTAAATGTTTTGTCAATATTGGCCAATGTAGAGGCGGGGCTTCTCGCAGAATGCCCGATGTCCACGCAGGTAGTAGTTTATCGATCGGCCCTCACTACCCTCATATCGAGCGATGTAATGAACTACTTGACTCGGCAAGCAAATCATCTGCATTACACCAACTCCGTTAGAACGCGACAATTTGCATGCCTTCGACTGCGAAGCTATGTCACCTAAAGTCCAAATCCCCAAACGCAGTATACAGTAGCCACTCCCCTCTAGCAGTCGTCCTACCTAAGAGATGAACCGACCGATTCAGCTTCGTGGTCCCTGACAGCACTGAACGAACCAAGTATTGCAGATAAAGATATTCTACTCTTTCGACTAAGGCATCTGTCGTTCTTAGTGGAACTGAGAGTGGTGTTTGCTATTCTGTTTCATAGAAAAATAATCATTAGACACATTTTGCAATTTTGGGTTATAGGTATAGAATAGTCCCCATCTATAACAACAAGCATTGTTAGTCTAACGGTTATGATACTCGCCTTCCAAGCGAGTGGCCGGGGTTCGACTCCCCGACAATGCATAATTTTTTCTTCCGCTCGGTATTCTTACCGTACTGCGTGCTAAATTCCAGTCGTGACGAATGGTATATTTTTCTATGTGGAAATATCATTTTTTCTTTTGACGCTAAATGCGTAATGGATTATATTGTAAAGGCTGTTCTTCTCGTACGGTTTGGTTGTTGATCTGTGTTGGGTTGAAATGGGAGTATAGGACTTCTTACGGACAGGTAGAGCCGTGCCTTTCATAGAGAACTATAACCTTTCGTACAGGATAGACACATCTCTTCGAGGACTTCGTCAATGTCAAGGTTGAAGACTATACCTTCTATATAAACCTCACACAACCCATTCGAACCATAAACCACCAAAAACTTTAGCATCTACCCTAACAAACCCCCTCCAAATGCACCCGAATCAAATCCTGATACTCCTCCGCCCTCGGCGTACTCTCCTCAATCCCCTGAACCTTGGCCGCATCATCCCAAAGCCTCAACTTGACCATCTCATCGCGCAACGGATCCGTCTCGAAGGCTTCTAGCTCCGCGCCTTTGAACGGCCCGCCTTGGAACTCGAGTGATTTCTTCGATGCGGATGATAATGTCTCGTAGTATGCTTTGTTTGTGGCGGTGAGGTATCTATCACACTCATTTATCTTCTTATCAGTATAAGATCTAAATATAGTAGTTGTGGGAGTCAAGGGGAGGGGGTAATGTACCGCTTCGCAGGAACATGACTCTCGACTAATCGACACACCCTCTCACTGAAACCCAGTGAGCGAAGGTATTCCGCTCCGATAGTCTCGTGGCCCATCCGGCCGACATTCTCGGTATTTGTGTTATCGTTGTTAGATTTCAGGTTCATCCGGACTTCCTTCGTGGATGAGAGGGGGATAATTTGGCCGATGTCGTGGAGGAGGGCGGCGAGGATTAGTTCGGGGGATGCGCCTGGAAGGAGTTGATTTTGTCAGTCTATCCTGTTTCTTTTCTTGTGGTGATGATTTGGTGCTTAAGTGGTTGAGTGGAGTGGCTCTCCTACCTGATTTCCGGGCTTGGTGCGCGGCTTGTAGACAGTGTTCGAGCTGACTGATGGATTCGCCGATGTAGTCGCCTTGTCCGTATTCTTCGAGGGAGGTTACGAGGTAGGTGGCTTTTTCGAGGGGGGTCTTGAGGGCCATTGTGAGGAGTTGGGCCGGGGAGAGGTGTGTGGAGGTGGTAATTATGCTCTAGAGGGAGGAAAATAATGTGGATGTGGGCGAGTGACTAGGGGGAGAGGGGTTATATAGGTGTAATTTCCTGCTGGTTTCATGAACCCACGTGCTTTCGCTTCTATTTGGTTCATTATGAAAATACCGAATTGGATTATGAATATCATCTGTATCTTGGATTTTTTTGGCATTTGGATTCCTGGCTGCGTAAACTCTTAATCATAGATGTTGCTATGTGGTGAACAATCGTTTGATCTACGTGGTTTACTACTTCGTGGTATAGATTTGAAGTTGTAGAACGCCAGACTATCGACTCCTTCCGTCCACATGTCTCCTTTGCCCGTTTTCAGCAAGCTATGCATTCATGAAAATTGCACCCTAAGTTTACGCTACGCAAGTACCGGCTGTTGACCCTCGACCGTCAGCATCGGGGAGCCGTAGCCATACCGCATTCTGCCCTCCTCATACGTCTCCCCCTCTTTCCGCATGTGCGTGGCAGGCCACAGCTTGCGGCGATCCTCATAGTACTGATCGTGCAGGTCACCCTCAGCCAAGCGGTTGTATGTGGCGTAGATTGCGCGTCGGTCCTTGGAGCTGGTGTTGGCGCCACTCTTATGGGCAAGGTAGGAGCCAAAAACGAGAATGTCACCTGAGTAAATTGATGGTTAATCTTTGAATAACAGTTTTTTCAGCACAAACAAACCCGGTTGTAGATTGCAAGGCGTCCATGTTTGGCTCTTGACCCAGCCAGGCTCAATGCAGCGGTCCTCTCCAAGCGGTACCTCCATAAGGTGACTGCCGTCGACCACGTCAAGTCCACCATTCTCCGAGGTCATTTCGTCAACAGCAGCGAGCACCGTCAGGTGCTTAATCTTCTTGACGTGGGTGTATGCATTGGCGTCGATATGAGGAGAGAAGCCACCTGCGTTGTATTAGCTGCTCCTCTGCCAAGTGCAGCAGATGTTGATTTCTTACCACTACCAGCGAGTTTGTAGTTAATCTTCTCCTTGAAAAGAATCATGTCCTCTGTAGCTAGCTGACGGAGAACGCTTAAGATGCGTTCACCACGCAGAAAACTGTCGAAGCCAGCATGAGAATTGGCATAGTTTTCTGTGCGGCAGAGGACCCTTTTGCCTTCTGCATTGACTTCCTGCAGCCGGGATTAGTTCGCCAGCCGGCTGCTGAGAAAGGTCACACTTTGATTCTCACCTCGTAAGGCATATAAGATGCATCTGGGGTCCTTGGGAGGTCGTGGACTTCCTGAGTCCACTGTTGTAGGACCTCTGTCTCAGGAGCATTAAAGAAGCCCTGGATGAGCAAGTATCCTTTGTCCTCATAGAACTGGAGTTGGTCCTCCGTCAGTGCGTAATAGCTGTTATTCATGATGCCAGTCTTGATATGATCGGACTAACCCTTCGATTCAATCTGCAGAGAGCACATGTCCTTTTGCCCGACCGAGATTGGGGCCATCGCGCCCATAAATCCTCTAATGCGAGCCCCCTTGCACATGAACGTTACTTCCAGCTGCCGACCTTCATATGTCACTATGCCGGGCCGGTGCGAGGTCCGTGTTCTAGAGTGGGGAATGTCGGAGTATGAGGCAGAAGTGTCAGCGAGGGGTTGCGCAGAGGCCAGGCACGAGACAGGCTGATCCTTGAAGGTGTTCTGAGGCATAGAACCACTCAGGATGCGATAAAATGCCCATGTGCCCGGGTCTAGGCGCTATCATAGGGCGCGGGCCGTCCTGATAAGCCCCGCCGGACTACGGGCCTTTTGCCTAAGCGAGGCGGAGATCCCCGCCAGGGCCCTGTCTGGACTGGGTATAGTTTGTCCTTTCTGTTACATTAGATAGACCTCGCCGAAAACTCTCCGCCTGTTGTACGAAAGGTGGGCTGGCATGCCAGCAGCGATGCAACACTATGTATCTCGTGCGAGCCATGCCGGCTGCTATTGGATAGCATGGCACGTTCTCGAAGAGTCTATTGTTGCCCAGAGAACTATTAGCTGCACTGAAGTAGATATAGTGAAGACGCAACGGACAAGTTAAGGACAGACTATAGCCCACGAAGTCGCAATCATTCCTTTTTCCCAATGGACACACCTCTACAGTCGACACATTGGCATCTTCTATCATGGCTGTAGCAACCCATTGCTCCGCGACCGAACGGGTTGAAAACACCATGAAGCATAGCCATCAGGGCGAGATAATGAAGCAAGACGACACCAATTCTATGGAAGATGGTGAGTTACGGGCCTCATCAGGTGTTTTGAACGTGGTCGTCTCGGGACTGGGACTCTTCAGTGATGGCTATAACGCTCAGATCAGTGAGTTCACCTTTTGCGAAGCCTGTGCCTAGCATGCCATGCCCAGCTTGCACAAGAAACATCACTAATCTCAGTATCCGCAAAGTCGGCTATATGGAGCCTTTGTTTTCTGTCTTGTTAGTCCCCATCAGGAGCCTCGTAGCTTAGGGATATCTGTTGACGCATTCATTGGCATTAGGTATAAAGATACCATGTCCTCAAGCATCAAAACCAGACTATCAAATTCCTTCCTTATTGGGGAGATTTTTGGTATGCTCTTCTTCGGTGCTTTGATTGACCGAGTAGGAAGAAGGACAGGAGTGGTGGCTACTACCTTGTTCTTGGTGCTTGGTATCATCTTGTCTGCTGCAGCACACGGTACCTCGGAGTTGGGGTGAGACTCGCTTCAATTGAACGAAGTATCAACCAGAAGTTTTGACTCTCTGATTAGGATGTTCTGGATGATGATTGTTGCTCGCGGTATCGCTGGCTTCGGAGCTGGTGGCGAGTATCCTGTCTGCGCAACCAGTGCAACTGAGGCGGCTGATGAGACCGCCAACCTTCGAAAGAAGAGGGGATTTCTGGTCGCGTCAACCACAGATTTTGCTGTGGATATGGTACGTGTCTCAATCTCACCGGACTAGGTTTCATGTCACTCAATGGAGCTATACTTAGGGCTTCGTGGCCGCCGGTATTGTGGCCCTTATTGTTCTCGCATGCTTCCACCAGGATGTCAAAAGTGGGGTTTGGAGAGTCTGTTTTGGGCTTGGTTTTGTGGTATGCTATAAGAAACCTCAGCACGAAGTAATGTACTGAAAACTGTGACAGATCCCGGTTTTCATGTGTTTCTTTCGGATTCGCATGATCAATTCCAAGCAATATCGCAAGCATGCCATCAAGTCGCGGTATCCATATTGGCTTGTCCTTCGGAGGTATTGGAAACCAATTCTGGGAACCTGTAAGCTTTGTTCCTGGATTTAATTGCATCAACCGTCCTGATATCTTAGCTCTCGCTTGGTTTTGCTACGACTTTGTCACGTATCCGTTTGGACTCTTCACTTCCACCATCATCTCTCAACTCAGCCCAAACAACACAACAGTGGAAAATATTGGGTACGGTGTACGTAAAACAAGCAGCCGGATGTCCTAATATCGAGATGCTGATATGGTCCACCAGACGGTTGTTAATTGCTTCTATCTCCCAGGCTGCCTGCTGGGAGGGCTCCTGATGGATAAAATTGGGAGAAAGCAGAACATGGCTCTCGGCTTCGTGCTCTGGGGTATATGGGGCTTCATTCTGGGCGGCGCTCTTCGCCCGATACAGTCAGTATTCCCGTTGTTCGTCGTTATGTACGGCATTTTCAACGCCCTGGGTGAGATGGGCCCCGGTGTGTCGACCTTTCTGTGCGCCGCAGAGTCGTTCCCCACCCCTCTTCGTGGTCACTTCCTTGGTCTGGCTGCCGCAGTTGGAAAGGCGGGTGCATCAATCGGGACTGAAGTATTTACGCCCAT